GGCTGCTCTGTCTGTGGGATTCTCCAGGCAAGAATACTGGAGTGGGTTGCTATTTACTTCTTCAGGGATCTTCCCAACCCAAGGATCGAACCTGCATCTCTTATGTCTCCTGCAGTGGTAGGCAGTTTCTCTACCACTAGCACCACCTGGGAAGCCCACTTTTTTGATAGTTAACTTTTTTTTTTAATGTACCGCATGGCATGTGGGATCTGGTTTCCCGACCTGGGATCAAACCTGCATCCCCTGCATTGGAAGCATGGAGTCTTAACCACTGGATCACCAGGGAAGTCCCCTCTAGTTACTTTTAAATGGTGTAGGGTGGAAATGTATAGATAAAAATTAAAGCAAATGTGACAAAATGTTAGCAATTGGTGGGTCTAGATTAAGAGTGTATAGTTCTTGTATGCTTTGTATTGTTCTATCAACATTTCCGTAGGTTAGACTTTTTTCAAAACAGAAAAATAAAGCTGAGAATGTTGGTAGTGGTAAAGAGGGGTAATTAGTGGTAAAATAGAGCTAGTGGTAAAGAACCCGCCTGTCAATGCAGGAGGCATAAGAGATACTTCTCTTATGAGAAGTGTTCTCTGGGGGTTCAATCTCTGGGGGGAAGATCCCTTGGAAGAAAGCATGGCAACCCACTCCAGTATTCTTTCCTGGAGAATCCCATAGGCAGAGAAGCCTGGCAGGCTACCATCCATGGGGTCACAAAGAATCACAGGCGACTGAAGCAACAGTGCACACAACAGGGGAGGAGGCATGGTTGATTGTTGCAAAGTCTTGGTGTAGGAGTCCTTTGTTCCCACAGCTGTCCAGACAGATCAAGTATTAACAAGACAAACTGTTTTCTGTTCTGCAACTTTTCATCTCTATAGGCATGGAAAAGTGTTACACCCTTAAATATCAGGGCCTTAAGAATGGGCTCTCCTGTGTATTTCAAGCTATAGGTGACATTCTTAACTCAACACAATAGAATACAAAGGTTAAAATAAAAGAAACAGATTTAATATGGAATCAGATTTATTCTTCCCTATTACACGGACAGGGACAAGATTCTTACTGTCTCTAAAGTATTTCTTGATAATTAAAAAACCAAACAAACAAGCTATGCCTTGCATCCTCCCTAAATATTTTCTGAACACCAGTCATGGTAACAGATATAAAGTGCTTTGCAAACAGCAGAGCCCTTCCTGGCACAAGGGGTCACCCACGTGATTATTTGGGCAGCACCAAGTGGTCTTAGATCACTTGGCCAACCCTCTTGCCTTTGGCTGTCTTAACTCCAGCCAATCTCTGCTGTTACAGCCACCTTAACATGCATATGCATGAGTGGCTTCCTGGCTTCTCTGCTCAGAGCATCACTGCAGACGCACAGACCTGGTCCTGAGAACTGGAGGGCAGAGCAACTCGCACAGCAGACTCCTGCCTGCCTGCTTCTCAGCGCCCTGCCCACCCCTCCTGATCCCTGGCCTCCAGCTGGCTCCCATGAAACCACCGAAGGCATCCCAGCATTTTAGAAGCATTCGGAGAAACGCCAACCAGCACTACTTCTATCAGGAGTCCCTGCTGCTCAGGTGAGACGTCCCGCCCATCCACCGGGCAGTTAAGGCAGGTGTGTGAGGAGGAAAAGCCTGGGTCCCCCTTTGCTTGCATCTCTCCAGAGGACCAAGTGCCCATCTTCCTGGGTTCTCCTTCAGAATAAGCTCAGAAGCTCCTTTATCCAGGTCCTTATCTGTCAAGGAAGACAACCTCAGCCACGTGCACAGAGGGTAGTGTCTACCTGCTTCTGATCAGCATCAAAAAGCTTACACCCCAACCTGCCTTTATTGCTGGCCAAACCTACAGACGTGCTTTATCTGTTTTCTCTTCTCTTTACTCCATCAGCAATATTAAGAGAGAGCAGATGATACATCTGACATAATAAATGAGGTTTCTGTTGGAATATAGACTAGTTAGAAGTGGGGGAGTGTTACTTGAATTTGTTAAACACTTACAACAGTATATTAAAACCTCCATAAATTCGGAGAAGCTGGAGAAAATTCTCCTTGGAGTAAGTAAAAACGATCTGAATTAGAAAAAACAAAGGAATTATTTCCCCTTACCTTTAAGTGCTTCCTTGAAGAAATATCCATAGCACAATACTCTATCCCCTCCTGAAAAGTTGCTTTAGGGTACATATGTCCTTTTGAATTAAGCTTTGTATTAAGCACAGGAAGCTCAGCTCAGGTGCTCTGTGATGATCTAGAAGGGTGGACGGGCTGGGATGGGGGACGGTCCAAGGGGAGGGGATATATCTTATACTTTAAGCTGATTCACTTCATTGTACAGCAGAAACTGTTACGGAGTCCAAGCTGACTCTGCTTGCCAAACGACAGGCCAATGAATCTGAGAGAGGAGGGGTTGAGGCAAGGAACAGATTTTAATTGGGGAGCCAGCTGTCGGAGAAGACGGCAGGCTAGCGCCTCAAAATAACCATCTTGTTAGGGCTTGGTTGCCAGGTCCTTTCCTCGATCAGAGATGGGGGGAAGTGAGTAAGCCAAAGTAAAAAGACCTCGATCCTTACAGATTTCCCCTAGAATGACAAGCCTCAGGCAGGGGGATGTGTTAGTTTCACCTCCTTGCAGTCCTTCACAGGTGGGCGGCTCAGGCAGGCCATTATGTATGTTTAATAACAAAAAAGGGTTAAAGTCACAGAAGCAGTTCCAACATAAATTCACAATTAACCTTTCCCAGTTACAAAACTAACACAACATTGTAAAGCAATTATATTCCAATAGATAAGAAATAATATGTTACATTACGGAAAAAAAATTGCATTAGAATTAGTGTATTCATTTTCACTGGGAATAAATGTTGCTACACACTGGAAGGTTGTTCTCCTTAGAGAGTAACTAATACCCTGAAATATTTGCCTGTGAAAATTTGTTTAGCTAATCTGTTCATAGAAACAGCTGCCTGTTTCCCATTCTTATCTCAGATTTCAAATGAATCCAAGCAGGAGTGCGGAGTGCGGGGCTCTCTAGATGAGATAGTTTGGTTTTTATTTATTTTACATCCAGAGTTAGGGAGCAGGAAGAGTCCTTTCTTTGAAATTAAGCTGATTATTTCAGTTAGCCTGTAAAAGAAATTGTTTTGCCACCAAAGATGCTGCTCTTCAGGAATCCTACCTAAGTACTCTCTTGGTTCCTTTTACGACAGCTTCTGATAGCATCTTTTATCCTTCAAAGCTCTTGTCTTTTATTGACCCATCAAAGTTATAGAACCCAGTGAATATGTTCCAGTGGCTGCTAACACTCCTGGATTCTCTCTCCAATGCCCCAGATCCCTCTCCTCTTCTTCCACACACACTAGCTTCATACAAATGACCCCCAGAGAGCAAGAGGCTGAACTTACCCAGGGCAAGATCTTGGCTGGAAGTAATTCTACTAATCTGATTTCCTCCTTAATGCTTTGATCCATTCAGCAACTTGGAGGACAGCTTTTCTGCCGATGAAACGGGGGACAGCCATGACCCAGAACAAATCTTCCAGAACATACAGTTCCAGAAAGATCTCATGGCAAACATTCGCTGTCGACCCTGGACCATGGGGCAGAAGCTGAGGGCGCTGAGGTAAGGGCCCCGACAACACCAATTGGTTATTGCAAGTGTAGGTGTGATAATCTGTTTCAGCCCTGATTGACTCTTTGTGACCCCGAGGACTGTAGCCCGCCAGGCTCCTCTGTCCATGGGATTCTCCAGGCAAGAACACTGGAGACGGTTGCCAAGGCCTTCTCCAGAAATCAACTCTACTTCAAAAAAACACAAAAAGTCATGTAGGGACTTCACTGGTGGTCCAGTGGTTGGGACTTTGCCTTACAATGCAGAGGCTGTGGGTTCCTTTCCTGGTCAAGGAGTGAAGATCCCACTGCCTCAGGGCCAACAAAAACCCAAAACATAAAACAGAAGCAATATTGAAACATAATAATGATAAAGTCTTTAAAAATGGTCCACATCAAAAAAAAATCTAAGTCATGTATTCTATCAGAATTTTGAAAAGCATACAGAAACTCTGATGATTAATAATTATCTGAACTGTAAGAGAGTGAGTTTTTTTTAACCAGCAGGCAGAGCAAAGCAAATGATAACTTTTCAGTCAGGATTCAAGGAATGAACCAGGCCTTTCTCCATAAGTGTAGCCAGGGCTCTGAGACACCGATACCAGGGAGGCCCAGGCCATCCATCAAGCTCTCGGAGAATAGCTCGCCCTTCAAGACCTGCATTTATCATCCCCCGTCACCTGTCTCCTCCCAGTCACCTTGAGAAACTACTGAAGCAATGGTCCAATAATTGGACATGCAGAGACTCACCAGGTCTGTGGAAGGCAGAGAGAGCAATGGACCCTGACTGCTCCAGGCTCAAGACAGTGTTGCTGAGGCGAAGAAAGCAGGGAACTCCAGCTTTGGGTCTGGACCTACAGCCACCTGTCTGGGAGGACAGAGCATGTATCTGTTACCTGTAGAGAGGCTGGTCTGTGGTGGGGCCTGGGTTAGGAACTGTCCCCACTGCTGTTACTGACCAGGGTCCTTGGCATCCTTCAGTTCAGTTCAGTTCAGTTCAGTTCAGTCACTCAGTCATGTCTGACTGTTTGTGACTCCATGGACGGTAAAATGCCAGGCCTCCCTGTCCATCACCAACTCCCAGAGTTTACCCAAATTCATGTCCATTGAGTCAGTGATGCCATCCAATCATCTCATCCTCTATCATCCCCTTCTCCTCCTGCCTTCAATCTTTCCCAGCATCAGGGTCTTTTCCAATGAGTCAGCTCTTCGCATAAGGTGGCCAAAGTATTGGAGTTTCAGCTTCAACATCAGTCCCTCCAATGAACACTCAGGATTGACGTTTGGGATGGACTGGATGGATCTCCTTATAGTCCGAGGGACTCTCAAGAGACTTCTCCAACACCACAGTTCAAAAGCATCAATTTTTTGGCACCCAGGTTTCTTTATAATCCAACTTTCACATCCATACATTACTACTGGAAAAACCATAGCCTTGACTAGACAGCTAATGTAATGGCTCTGTTTTTTAATATGCTATCTAGGTTGGTTATAACTTTCCTTCCAAGGAGTAAGCATCTTTTAATTTCATGGCTGCAGTCACCATCTGCAGTGATTCTGTCACTTTACTTCTGTGTAAATATTCCTCATTTCTAAAATATTTATGAAAGCAATGTGTTCACTCTACCAGGATCTCAATAAAGATCAAATTAAAATATACATACATAAATTCTATGTGTGTGTGTGTGCATTTTGAAGACTTTCAAGTATAAGATTGAAAGGCATTTATTGATATTATTTATTATGTAAACTTGACTTTCCAATAACATCAGTTCCCAAGGAAAGTGGTTGTTCTGTAATGTATTCAAAAGTGGTAACAGCCCAACCATCATTTATATTTCTACACTTAAAACCTAGATCCAGAAGATTTATAGCACAAGTACTGACTGAAAACAAATTTTCTCACTTCAACAAAACTTTTCACTTTCTCTCTTCCATCACTGTAGTGATACATTTAGATTCTCAAGATAGATGATTCAAACTGGCAGAGTAAAAAGGAAATATTTTGCAAAAAGAGTTGTGATTCAGCTGCAATGATTGCCAAATAAATTAGTTTATAAATCTTTAGACTTCAGCTTTACTAAACCCAAAATATGCCCTGTTACACATAAGATTTATTTTTGTTTCTGGGAATCTTTTTAAGCTCCTCAAATATGACTGATTTAAAGCCATTTTATGAACTTAAAAATTCAAAGAAAAGTATCAATTCACTTCCATAGTTCTATTACAAAGTTTTAATGTCATCATTATATTCTTCCCATTCTTCTGCATTTTCTTGAGAATAGTGCCTCCACAATGTGTACCTTCTCCTCCATAATTAATTTCCTTCTACATCAACAGAATTATAAAATAAANAACTCTATTAGCCTTTGCCCTGCTTCATTCTGTACTCCAAGGCCAAATTTGCCTGTTACTCCAGGTGTTTCTTGACTTCCTACTTTTGCATTCCAGTCCCCTATAATGAAAAAGACATCTTTTTTGGGTGTTAGTTCTAAAAGGTCTTGTAGGTTTTCATAGAACTGTTCAACTTCAGCTTCTTCAGCATTACTGATCAGGGCATAGACTTGGATTAACATGATATTGAATGGTTTGCCTTGGAAATGAAGAGAGATCATTCTGTCATTTTTGAGACTGCATCCAAGTACTGCATTTCGGATTCGTTGATCATGATGGCTACTCCATTTCTTCTAAGGGATTCTTGCCCACAGTAGTAGATATAATGGTCATCTGAGTTAAATTCACCCATTCCAGTCCATTTTAGTTTGCTGATTCCTAAAATGTTGACATTCACTCTTGGCATCTCCTGTTTGATCACTTCCAATTTGCCTTGATTCATGGGCCTGACATTCCAGGTTCCTATGTAATACTGCTCTTTACGGCATCAGACCTTGCTTCTATCACTAGTCACATCCACAACTGGGTGTTGGCCTCCTTAATCAACAGAATTTAACCAGAGGCCAGACAAGAAATTCAGGTGAGGCTTTATTGGGGTCTCTGCTGAAGCAGGGGAGAACAAGAACAGACAACAGATTCCCTTGTTTGCCAACTTGTTGAAGCGGGGGAGGTTACAAGTTTGCCTCTTTTATGCAGGGAGGGTAGGGTGTGTTCAGGGGTCAGGCCAGAGGGGTGGCTTAGGTGTCTGCCCACCTGAGGTGGTGCTGTGTGCAGGGGGTTTGCACAGTACCCTGTTTTTGTCCCTAACTCTTTAGAAGTGACAGTTGGGATTTTGGTCTCTTTGTATCTCATTGTCCATAATTTGCTCCAACTGTGCATGCAAGCAGCTATTTTTAGTCCTTTATAGTTTCTTTGTATTTTGTTGCCTGGGAGGTGTGTCCAGGTGCACACACTATAGGAAACAGTCCCAGGACCCAGCCTGGCTCACTGCTGCCTCGGCCCCCTACTCAGTCCTTACTCACCCACCCTCTCCCACCGTTGCTTGAAGTCTCTGTCATCCTTATTAGCTAGTGGGTTATTCCAAGGGAACAACTGTATTTTATGCACCTCTGTGTTCCACTGTACTTGACCCAAACAGGTGTGCAGAAAGTTGCTTTCATGGAAAAATGTAATGAATGAATTGGGAGAATAGCATTGTCATATACACACTACCATGTGTCAAATAAACATCCAGTGGGAAGCTCCACTGCTGTAACACAGAGCTGAACTGGGTCTGGGTGCTCTGTGATGACCTAGAGGGGTTGGATGGGGGTGGGGAGGGAGGGACAAGAGGGAAGGGATATATGTATACATACAGTTGATTCACATCATCGAATAGCAGAAACTAACACAACATCATAAAGCACCTATATCCCAATCAGAAAAGAAAAACTTGACCTAAAATTTTATAATGAGTGAATGAAATGAAATGAATTATTATTTCACTGATATGGGCCCTGTCTCTGTTGTTGTTATTCAGTCACCAAGTCGTGTTTGACATGACTCATGGACTGCAGCATACCAGGCTCTTCTGTCCTCCGCTATCTCCTAGAGTTTGCTCAAATTTATGTCCATTGAATTGGTGATGCCATCTAACCATCTTATCCTCTGCTGCTCTCTTCTCCTTTTGCCTTCAGTCTTTCCCAGCAACAGGGTCTTTTCCAGTGAGTCAGCTCTTCTCACCAGGTGGCCAAAGTATTGGAGCTTCAGCTTCAGCTTCAGCCCTTCCAATGAATATTCAGGTTTATTTCTTTTAGGATTGACTGGTTTGATCTAGGATTGACTGGAAAGATTGAGGGCAGGAGGGAAAGGGGGTGGCAGAGGATGAGCTGGTTTGATGGCATCACCGACTCAATGAACCTGAGTTTGAGGGACTCTGGGAGATAGCGGATTACAGGGGAGCCTGGTGTGCTGCAGTCCTTGGGGTCTCGAAGAGTCAAACACAACTTGGAGACTGAACAACAACTGGTTATCAAAAGTTAGGAAATGCAAGATTTGCATAAGCACATCTCTTCTCCACAGTTTGGCTATCTATTCCTACTGCACATTCACATGTGTTGCCGAGATTACCAGGGTGATAAACTTGTGCTAACCACCATGTTTTATTTCCTCTCTCAGGAGAGCGAAGGACATTGTGCTGAAGTTTGAAGGGCGGTTGACCAGGACTCGAGGCTACCAAGCAGCCAGTGCAAAGGTAAAGAATACACACACGCAGGTGCCCACCCTTCCTCTGGTCCCCTAGCCCAGGCAGTTGTACTTAACCTTGAACTTGCTATACTCATGGGTTATAAACGTCCGTCATTAATAGTTGTTGAACAGTATGGTAAGCTTGAAGGTCCGAGTTTCCCAAAACTTGCATTTGAAGTCCTGATGATGTCACTTAACAAATTGTGTGCCCCCAAGGAAGCCCAACTCATCAGCAAAAGGAGATCTTCCCTTGGAAGAATGATCTGGCCTCTTTCCCGAGTGAAGCCCACTTATGTGTGTGGGTTTTCTTCACTAATGAGAAAGTTGCAGGCATATTCCAACACTCATTTTATAATACAGTGCTATATTATTGCTTGTTACTTTTCCCATCCAGTTACTTACAGTTTAACTTTGGTATACATTGAAAGTATCTATTAATAAAGACATTCCAATAATTTTCATAAATGCTTGAAAAGCAACAACAAAAAAATATTTCTTCCACTATAATCCTCTACTTTCCATTGTATCTTTTGGTGGGGGATGAAGTAGAAAAGAATAACTTTTACTGCTTTGCTAGTATCTTTTTTTAAACTTCACATTTCAGTCATTGGATATACAGTTTTCACATCAGACTAATTATGTTGTTGCTGTTTAGTCACTAACTCATGTCCAACACTTTGCAACCCCATGGACTGTAGCCACCAGGCTCCTCTGTCCATGGAATTTCCCAGGCAAGACTATTGGAGTGGGTTGCCATTTCCTTCTCCAGGGGATCTTCCCAACTCAGGGGTTGAACCCACAGTTTCTGCATTGACAGGTGAATTCTTTACCATCTGAGCCACCAGGGAAGCCTCGGAGTAATTATAGTATACAAATATTTTTGTCTTGCTTTTTTTCACTTAACACCATAACAAGGATTTTTCTCCATGTTTCTATGTTTATTTTTCACCATGTTTTTATACTTATTGTTTTCTATGACTCTGTAATATTCCATCAGGAAGATGGATGTTAATTTAATTAGTTACTTGCCTGCTGGTGATATTTAAATAGCTTCTAATTTTTCATTAGTGTTAACAGACCTTCAAAGATTGTCTTTGTGCAGATGGCTTTTCCAGTCTTTTAAAAGTCTTTTTCTAGGATACATGTCAAAACTATGACCTCTGTAGAAAAAAAGATGATCCATGTTTTTTGGTTCTTGATAAATATTAATCAATTGTTTCCCCTGTTAATCAATTAATCAATTGTTACCATCCACTATGAAGACAGCAGATTTTTTCATTCTGACACTTCAGTTCTTCCCCTCCTCATTCATAACATCATTCCTCTACCCCCCCTTTTTTTTTTTCTGGGTTGACTTTATTTATTCTTATGTCTCGTATGATAGTGATCAATGATTGTGTTTTTTTTTATTGGAATATAATTGCTTTACAATGTTGTGTTAATTTCTGCTGTACAAGAAAGTGAATCAACGATATATATACATATAGCCTCTCCCACTCACCCTCATCCCTCCTCTCTAGGTCATCAAAGAGCACCAGGTTGAACTCCCTGTACTACACAACATCTTCTCATTAGCTATCTATTTTATGCATGGTAGTATATACATATATCAATCCCAATCTCCCAGTTTGTCCCACCCATCTCCCCCCGCCACGTCCACATGTCCCTTCTCTATAAGTATGTCTATATAGCTGCCCGGGAAATAGGTTCNTATTTGCCATGAAGTGATGGGACCAGATGCCATGATCTTAGTTTTCTGAATGTTGAGTTTTAAGCCAACTTTTTCACTCTCCTCTTTCACTTTCATCAAGAGGCTCTTTAGTTCTTTGCTTTCTGCCATAAGGGTGGTGTCATCTGCATAGAGGTTATTGATATTTCTCCCGGCAATCTTGATTCCAGCTTGTACTTCATCCAGCCCAGCATTTCTCACGATGTACTCTGCATATAAGTTAAATAAGCAGGGTGACAAAATACAACCTTGACGTACTTTCTCTCTGACTTACTTCACTGTACATGATAGACTTTAGGTCCATCCATAGCTCTCCAAATGACCCAATTTTGTTCCTTTTTATGGCTGGGTAATATTCCATCTTACTTACATTAATGTACATTGTGCACATGTTACATTTAGAATTAAATCCAGACTCCTTCCTCTGACCCACCAGATCAGCCATTTCCTACCTTTTTGACCTCATCACATTCCTTTCTACTTATTCTTTTCTGTAACATGCCCAGCTCATGCTGACCCACAGGCTTCTCCTGGCTATTCTCCCTTTTTAGGTAGCTCCTCTAAGGACTTATTATTTTTTGAACTATTGATTAACTTTCATTCACATCTCAGCTCAAGTATGACCTCCCCAGATAGACCTTCCTTGACCCTTTGTTTCAAAGAGCTATGCCCCAGTTCTAATGAGTTGAATTCTTTGTTGTTTCCTCCCCTCTACTTGTATGCAAACTCCACACCAGCTGATACCTTGCATGTCTTGCTCATGATTTGTATCCAAGGTACTGGAAACACAACATAGGTGCTCAGTGCACACTCTGGATGGACAGATTGTTCATAAGCTATAATACATGTTGTTAGTACATATCTGCTCTCGATGATCTTAGAAGCCTTACCAAATCTCAATAACCCAGGCCTGAAATTAGGACCCATTTCTTCCTTGGTTTTGCTTTATTTTGTGTTCACTTTGCTCTTAAAAGGCTTCCCGAGTGGCTCAGATGGTACAGAGGCTGCCTGCAGTGTAGGACACCTGGGTTTGATTCCTGGGCTGGGATGATCCTCTGGAAAAGGGCATGGCAACCCACTTCAGTATTGTTGCCTGGAGAATCCCATGGACAGAGAATCCTGGTGGCTACAGTTCATGGGGTTGAAAAGTCGGACATGATTGAGCAACAGCATGCCTGCTGGGAGCCTCACCTGCACGTAGGACCTGGGCTCCACACAATCACTGCCACCCTCATGGATGTCAAGTCCACTAATCCTGCTCTCTCCTCTCTAGCTGTGGCGGAAGTTTGCTCGTCTGGCCTGTAACTTTGTGGTCATCTTCATCCCCTGGGAAATGAGGATAAAGAGAATCGAAAGTAAGTGCTGGCACTTGGAGGAGTGGGGTGGGAGGCAGTGCTGGTGGCAGCCAGCAGTGAGGTCTGAGATGGGTCTGGGGCAGACTGGTTCCTACGCTGGGCAGTCAGGGCCCTTGTACACACAGTGCTGACTGAGGCTGCCCAGGGGTCTGCGGAGGCGGAGACACAGTGCTTGTCTGTCCCTACCACCTCCCAGGCTAAAAACAGCCCCACATTCCGCTGGGGCTCTGTCAGTTATCTGTCAGTTCATGCCTTAGACACAATATAAACCCAGAAACAATAGGGAGGAAAAACTGTTAGATGAATAGAAGGATAACATGGGTGACTGCAAAACAGAATGCAAAGATTAACATTTTGAGAGAGGTGACTGTACTCATTTAGAAAAATACACCCCCCCCCAATTAAATCAATCACAGTAACATTTGCAAGCACACACACAGGGGGACTTCCCTGGTGGTTCAGTGGTTAAGAATTTAACACTCCCAACACGGGGGTCATGGGTTTGATCCCTGCTCAGGGAACTAAGATCCCAAATGCTGCACAGCACAGATGAGATAAATAAATGTTTAAAAGAATAAAAACCCACACAGTACAAACACACAAATGCAACACATAGGAATAAATATAACCAGAAGTCTGAAATGAAAACTAAAATTTGATCATGAGATATTTAAAACTTTTTGTGAAGAGACATAGAATGATTTAATATTTGGGAGGTATTGATTTTCTCAATATCAATTTGTAAGTTTTAATGCAATTTCAATAAAATTACAATACAGTGTGTTTTGTGTATTACTCATAGAGAAAAAAAAAACTAACTGAAAACCTTTTTAAAAGGAAAAACTCAAATGAACTTGTATAACCAAAATGTTAAATAAAATACGTTATAGAAACTACAGGAATTGAAACACGTAGCATAGAGACATAATTGATGCTGGAACAATTGATGTAACTGTTTTAAAGAATAACCTAGATCTTTCACTTTAAAGCTCCATTAGGTCAGTTCAGATGCTGAGTAGTGTTCAACTCTGCCACCCCATGGACTGCAGCACACCAGGCTTCCCTGTCCACCACCAACTCCCAGAGCTTGCTCAAACTCATGCCCACCAAGTTGGTGATGCCATCCAACCATCTCCTCCTCTGTCATCCCCTTCTCCTCCTGCCTTCAATCTTTCCCAGCATCAGGGTCTTTTCCAATGAGTCAGTTCTTCCCATCAGGTGGCCAAATTATTGGAGTTTCAGCTTCAACATCAGTCCTTCCAATGAACACTCAGGACTGATCTCCTTTAGGATGGACTGGTTGGATCTCCTTGCAGTCCAAGGGACTCTCAAGAGTCTTCTCCAACACCACAGTTCAAAAGCATNATGTCCAGTTCTAACTGCTGCTTCTTGACCTGCATACAGATTTCTCAAAAGTCAGGTCAGGTGATCTGGTATTCCCATCTCTTAAAGATTTTCCATAGTTTGTTGTGATCCACATAGTCAAAGGTTTTGGCATGGTCAATAAAGCAGAAGAAATAGATGTTTTTCTAGAACTCTCTTTCTTTTTTGATGATTCAATGGATGTTGGCAATTTGATTTCTCGTTCCTCTCCCTTTTTTAAATCCAGCTTGAACATCTGGAAGTTCACTGTTCGTGTACTGTTGAAGCCTGGGTTGGAGAATTTTGAGCATTACTTTGCTAGAGTGTGAGATGTGTGCATTTCTGCGGTAGTTTGAACATTCTTTGGCATTGCCTTTCCTTGGGATTGGAATGAAAACTGACCTTTTCCAGTCCTGTGGCCACTGCTGAGTTTTCTAAATTTGCTGGTATATTGAGTGCAGCACTGTCACAGTGTCATCTTTTAAGATTTGAAATAGCTCAACTGGAATACCATCATCTTCACTAGCTTTGTTCATAGTAACATTACCTAAGGCCCACTTGACTTTGCATTCCAGGACGTCTGGCTCTAGGTGAGGGATCACACCACCATGCTTATCTGGGTCATGAAGATATTTTTTTGTACAGTTCTTCTGTGTATTCTTGCCACCTCTTCTTAATATCTTCTGCTTCTGTTAGGCCCATACCATTTCTGTCCTTTATTGTGCCTATCTTTGCACAAAATGTTCCCTTGGTATCTCTAATTTTTTTGAAGAGATCTCTAGTCTTTCCCATTCTATTGTCTTCCTCTATTTCTTTGTATTGATCACTGAGGAAGGCTTTTTTTTAATCTCTTCTTGCTATTCTTTGGAGCTCTGCATTCAAATGGGTATATTTTTCCTTTTCTCCTTTGCCTTTCCCTTGTCTTCTTTTCACAGCTTTTTTTAAGGCCTCCTCAGACAACCATTTTGCCTTTTTGTATTTTTTTTTCTTGGGGATGATCTTGATCACTGTCTCCTGTACAATGTCATGATCCTCCATCCGTAGTTCTTCAGGCACATTGTCTAACAGATCTAATCCCTTGGATCTATTTGTCACTTCCACTGTATAATCGTAAGGGATTTGATTTAAATAGGAAACCATGAGGGAATAAAAGAAATACAAGTAATGTGATGTCAGAATGGAAGCCTGTCAAATTCTGAAAGTAAAGAAGGAATCATCCAAGAAAGTACTGTTATATTTAACTACACATAAAAGTAATTTTACATACATAAAAAATAGAGGTAAAAGTTAGATGACAAATTGAGGAGGGGAAAAGTATTTTTAACATTTAAATGATATTAATCCCTTTCGTACCAGTGGTAGAAATGTCCATTGGGATGCTATTTCTAGGGGAAAGTGGTAATTTGAACCAAACACCTTCAAAATGTTTATACTATTTGATAGAACCCTTCCATTCCCTAACAACCAGAAGAAACAGCAGCCACAACAAAATCAGTCACACTTGGTCCCCTGCCCAGATCCCTTTACTTGTCTGGTCCACCCTTTTTCAGCTGTTCCAAGTGCTGGCTGCTATGTCTTCTGGCCACTCCCTTCTCTCGAGGATTAGTCTTGGCCCACATTGTTCCAGATGTTGGGCACTCATATCCATCAAGTTGGTGATGCCATCCTACCATCTCATCCTCTGTCATTCCCTTCTCCTCCTGCCTTCATTCTTTCCCAGCATCAGGGTCTTTTCCAATGCGTCAGTTCTTCCCATCAGGTGGCCAAAGTATTGGAGTTTCAACTTTAGCATCAGTCCTTCCAATGAATATTCAGGACTGATTTCCTTTAGGATGGACTGGTTAGATCTCCTTGCAGCCCAAGGGACTCTCAAGAACCTTCTCCAATACCACAGTTCAAAACATCAGCTCTTCATCACTCAGCTTTCTTTATAGTTCAGTTCTCACATCCATACTTGTCCACTGGAAAAACCATAGTTTTGACTAGATGGACCTTTGTTGGCAAAGTAATGCCTCTGCTTTTTATTTTTTATTTATGTTTTTTTTAGAGGCTTTTCTTTTATTGAATGAATGATCTATGCAATTGCCGAGGCCACTATGTACAGAGAAGAGGGGGAGAACTTTATTTCTTGGTCTCTTCCTCCTTGGACAGAGTCTTGATGATTTCCTCCTTCTTGGCCTGGAGCCGCTCTTCCCGGCGCTTGCGGGCTTCCTTGGTCTTAGACCTGCGGGCCTCAGCCTGGTCCNCCATGATCTTAGTTTTTTGAATGTTGAGTTTTAAGCCAACTTTTTCACTCTCCTCTTTCACTTTCATCAAGAGGCTCCTTAGTTCTTCTTCACTTTCTACCATAGGGGTGGTATCATCTGCATGGCTCAGGTAATTGATATTTCTCAGGGCAATCTTGATTCCAGCTTGTGCTTTGTCCAGCCCAGCATTTCTCGTGATGTACTCTGCATAGAAGTTAAATAAACAGGTTGAAAATATACAGCTTTGATATACTTAACTCCTTTCTGGATTTGGAACCAATCTGTTGTTCCATGTCCAGTTCTAACTGTTGCTTCCTGACCTGAATACAGATTTGTTAGAAGGCAGGTAAGGTGGTCTGCTATTCCCATTTCTTGTAGAATTTTCCACAGTTTGTTGTGATCCATACAGTCAAAGTTTTTGGCATAGTCAATATAGCAGAAGTAGATGGTTTTTGGAACTCTCTTGCTTTTTCAGTGATCCAATGGGTGCTGGCAATTTGATCTCTGGTTCCTCTGCCTTTTCTCAATCCAGCTTGAACATCTGGAAGTTCATGGTTCATGTACTGTTGAAGCCTGGATTGGAGAATTTTGAGCAATACTTTGCTAGCATGTGAGATGAGTGAAATCGTGCAGTAATCTGAACATTCTTTGGCATTGCCTTTCTTTGAGATATATATATCATGTTAGTTGAGCCCTTTTCTCAGGCTCTGCTTTTAGGAAGTCTGACCTTAGAAACTGATTTCTGCAGAATTATTTATGCTATCAAATACTCTACCTAGTGAAAAGTTAGAAACTTCCAAAGAGTCAGGGAGTGGGGTTTAAGTTAAATAAATTATGTAAAATTCATTGGATGGAACAATAAAATTCATTTTATAGGGAAATATTTCATATGAGAAAATGTTTATAATAGATTGTTAACCCTAGATGTGTAGAGATATGACAGTTTTATACCAAAAAATACACATATGGTTGACACATATGGATGACAATGGATGGTTCCACTAAAAATTACTAGAAAGTAATTCTAGTAGTGATTTTAATTTAGTAGCCTTGGAGTAGGTGACTTTTTTTTGGCTTTCTTTGTGATGTTTTGTGTTTTCCTACTTATTATGAAACATAAGCTAGATTTGAAATAAAATTTCAAGATGCTACTTTTCCAAAGTATAATACAAGTCCACCTGCTCCAGAAGGTCATCACAAGTGTCACCTACATCCCCATCCAACTTTCTCTAAGCCCCCTTGTTTTCTCAATAGAAATTTGTTTTTATTCATTTCTTGGCCACGTTGCGGGGCACGTGGGACCCTCAGTTCCAGGACAAGGGAGTGGTCCACCTACCACCTGTCACCTTCCACTGTGCCACTTGCAGTGGAAGTAGGGAGTCTTAACCATTAGACCACCAGGGAAGTCCCAGAAATTTGTTTTTAAATGCCCTTTTTATTTTAGAATAAGTTTAGATATATGGAAAAGTGGCAAGGGGAATTCTTATAATCCCTTTGACCACTTTTCCCTAATGTTAACATTTAACACACTGTTATTTCTTTTGAAATTAAGACAAAAGAATCCTTACAATATCTTTGGAATTTTCCTAACTATGCAAAGTGAAAAAGAAATCTTTTAAATCCTCAAAAATAGGCCGATATTTCTGAACATAGGTGGAATATAAATCTGATAAAAGCATTTTAGATCCATATGATATTAGGGAAAGTATGACATTAGGGATTAAGGATGTATGTGTGTAACTGGTAGGTATTAAGGAATGTGTTAATCCTTCTGAATGATCATCATGGGTCAACACCCTGACAGGGACATTATGGCATTCTTAGTCTATGCCCTGCTGATATAAGAAAAAAAATCAGTGTTGCTTTACAGAGAACTTCTTGCACTGGGGGGATTTTCTTTAAACTGTGCTCCTTACCTTGTCTTTCTTTAGGTCATTTTGGATCTGGTGTTGCCTCTTATTTCATATTCTTGAGATGGTTATTTGGAATCAATATTGTGCTCATGATTATGACAGGTGCTTTTATTGTTCTTCCAGAGGTAAGAACTATATCAGGAGAGTTTAAAAGTGCCATTTGTTATAATGAAGAGATGTTTAAAGCTGTAGTATAAGACAGGCACCCTCATTATCCTCGTGGGAAGGATAATCTGTGTGTCCAAACAGGGCTTGGTGAACTTTTTTCAGTAAAGGGCCAGATAGTAAATATTTCAGTCTTCGTGGGCTTCTTAAATTTGCCACATCATACAAAAGTAACTAATAAGCCCTAGGTCACTAGTAAGTATGACTGCATTCTGATAAAAATTTATTTATGAGTACTGAGTCACTCAGTCGTGTCTGACTCTTTGCGACCCCATAGACTGTAGCCCCCGGACTCCTCTGTCCATGGGATTCTCTAGGCAAGAATACTGGAGTGGGTAGCCATTCCCTTCTCCAGGGGATCTTCCTGACCCAGGGATTGAACCCAGGTCTCCTGCATAGCATACAGATTCTTTACCATCTGAGCCACCTGGGAAGCAATTTTGGATTTTTTTCCAACCATTTAAAAATGTGCAATGGTCTCCCCAGGTGGTTCAGTGGTAAAGAATCCAACTGTCAAGCAGGAGATGTGGAGTTGATTCCTGGGTTGGGAAGATTCTCCAGAGAAGAAAATGGAAACCTACTCCAGCATTCTTGCCTGGGAAATCCCAAGGGCAGAGGAGCCTGGGGGTCTATAGTCCATGGGGTCACAAAGAGTTGGATATGACTTAGCCACCAAACCACCACCACTCAAACCTTCCTTAGCTCTTGGGCCACACAAAAGGAAGTGTTAGGCTGGATTTGGCTTATGGGCCAGTGTGCAGACATTGTGTTAAAGTAAAATCCATTTCTCAACTAAACTTTATCCTTGCAAAGCAAATGGGACCATTTCCTATGCCATTATAGAAAGCCAGTGGCTTCAATCATCCTCCCTTAGAAGCCATGTCCAGCCTAGAGAGTACACTCAGACTGGCCGCAATCAGGCAAATGAAAGTCTGGCTACTCATGATGAATTCCTTATCAATAAGTATCAAGCAGAATCCACCTCCTAAGAGTCTTGTAGGTGCAGCATCTTCACAGGTGCATGGAGATCAGTGGCCCCTTTTCTTCTGGTCCCTTACCACCCAGAGGACTGCATGATCGCCCTTCCTCTGTCACCAGCTCATTGCAGGCCAACCATTTGGAAGCACAGCCAGCAAGACCATCCCCAAGGAGCATATTGCATCTGCCCAAGATCTGGACACCGTTTGGTCTCTAGGGGTGAGGTTCATGCCCAGCCACACTCTTGTCTCGAAGTGGGAGGGGGTTGTGAATGTTCTAGAACCTAGGAGTCAGAAATGACACCAAGTGCTCTCTCTGCAGGGTTACCTCCAGTACTCAGTCCTCTTCTATGGCTACTACGGCAGGGAGAGACGGATCGGGAGAGCTGGCTACCGGCTGCCCTTGGCCTATTTCCTGGTGGGGATGGCGGTGTTTGCTTACAGCTTTATCATCCTCTTAAAAAAGTATGTCCGTTCAGTTCCTCAAAATCCATGCCAAAATGCTGTGGATGATCTCATTTCATCTTGTCACTAACCCTGCAAAGTCAGGGCATACATCTGCCCACGTTACAGATTAGGTGTGGCCTCCTTGCTTAGTTGTATCTGACTCTGCAACGACTGTATGACCTGTAGCCCACCAGNAATAAGTCAATTCTTCACATCAGGTGGCCAAAGTATTGGAGTTGCAGCTTTAGCATCAGTCTTTCCAATGAATATTCAGGACTGATTTCCTTTAGGATTGACTGGTTTGATCCCCTTGCAGTCCAAAACCCCAATAAGAAATAAAAAGTTAAAGAAAAACAGGAACATGATAAAAATCAGCAAATAAGAATATTGTTGAAATATGTTTATTGATATGTAAGGTTATGTTTATAATTATGGTTATAATTAGATTATTATAAAACAGAAAAAACAGCAGGTGGTGCTAGTGGTAAAGAATCTGCCTGCCAGTGCAAAAGAAGCAAGAGATGTGCGTTCCATCTCTGGGTTGGGAAGATCTGCTGGAGAAGGAAATGGAAGCCCACTCTAGTATTCTTGCCTGGATAAATTCCATGGACAGAGGAACCTAGTGGGCTATGTATAGTCCATGGGGCTGCAGAGAGTCAGACACAACTGAGTGACTGAGCATACATACTCACATACAGGGAGATGCAGAGTGACTTGAGGACCGAAAGTTCACAGGAAGCTTTCCAGCTTAGCCTGTGGGGGCCTCAAGACCCCACCTACAACACGAACCCTTTGCTGGATGTTAGAGTTTAAGAGACAAATTGCTGTCAACTCTGGAGCAGGAAACGTGGATAGACAGAGAGGGAAAAGCTTCTAAGAGGAGAGATGCTCTAGAGCAGCAGACTTTTGGCACTGGGGACCAGTTTCATGGAAGACCATTTTCCCATGGACAGGGTAGGGGATGGTTTTGGGATAATTCAAGCACATTACATTTATTGTGCATTTTATTTCTATTATTATTACATTGTGATATGAAATACTTATACACCTCACCATAATGCACACTCTGGGAGCCCTGAGCTTGTTTTCCTACGACTAGACAGTCCCATCTCAGGGTGATGAGAGAGGGAAGGGGTGCAAGTGAAGTAGAGATGAAGCTTCGTTAGCAGCCCAGTGCGGCCTGGTTCTTAATAGGCCACGGACTGGTACTGGTGCTTGGCCCAGGGGTTGGGGACTGCTGGCCTGAAGGACAGAATCATAACTCCTGCCTTACATCTGATGCGAAGTCCTGTATAAGAGGTATCTGACAGGCTCCCACTTGGTGGGGTGGTTGCTTCATTGGGCAGGGGCTCCAAGGAGAACTGATTCAGTTCAAAGTAAAAAGGTTTGTTTCACAACCGCAGCTGCACAAGTGCAGTGAGTGCACACACTCACAGAGACCTCCTGACCACTAGTGATGGGAGAGCTTATGCAAAGGACTCACCCAAGAATTTGCTGTTTTCATACTGTTCAAAGCGGGTGGTGAGTTCACAAGCCACAAGCGGGGCTGAACCCAGTCAGGGTTCTGCCTGTCCACACGTAGATGGGGCTCCTTGCTCCACATGGACTCACAGCAGCCCCCAGTGGCTGAGCCTGTTTCCGACACTGTTCTTGCATGACCCTTTCTGGTCTTTTTGTAAAAAAATTTAATTAGTGTTTAGTTGACTTTTCAATATTGTGTCAGTTTAAGGTGTACAGCAAAGTGAATCAGTTACACCTATATATGTGTGCTCATGTGCTCAGTCGCTCAGTCCTGTCTGACTCTCTGTGACCCTATAGACTGTAACCCACCAGGCTCCTCTGTCCATGGAATTCTCCAAGTAAGAATACTGGAGTGGGTTGCCACTTCCTACTCCAGGGGATCTTTCTGACCCAGAGACTGAACCCACCTCTCTTGCATCTCCTGCATTGGCAGGTGGATTCTTTACCACTAGCGCCACCTGGGGGAAGCTTACATATACACATGTTCACAGATTGTTTTCCAATATAGACAATTACAGAGTATTGAGTAGCATTCCCTGTGGTATGCAGCAGATTCTTATTAATTACCTGTTTTATATATATCAATGTGTATGTGTCAATCCCAGTGTTCCAGTTTATCCCCTCCCCCACTCTTATCCCACCCCCAGTAACCCTAAGTTTATGTTATACATCTTAACTCTGCTTTGGTTTTGTAGGTAAGTTCATTTGTAGATTTTTTTGTTTTTTAAGATTCCACATAGAAGTGATATCATATGATATTTGTCTTTACCTGACCTACTTCACTTAGTATGAGGATCTCTAGTTGCATCCATGTTACTGCAAATGGCATTGTTATTCTTTTTATGGTTGAGTAATACTCCATTGTTTATACACACCACATATTCATCTATTCCTCTGTTGGTGGATGTTTAGGTTGCTTCCATGTGCTGGCTGTTGTGAGTTGTGCTGCAGTGAACACTGGGGGCATGTGTCTTTTTTGAATTACGTTTTCTCTGGTCCTCTCGTGCAGGATGGCTAAGAACTCCCGCACGAGCCTCGCCAGCGCTTCCAGTGAAAACTACACATTCTGCTGGCGGGTGTTCTGCGCTTGGGATTACCTCATTGGCAACCCAGAGGCGGCCGAGAGCAAAACCGCAGCCATCGTGAACAGCATTAGGGTGAGTTAGGGAGCCGTCCAGGCTGCCAGGAGTCGGGCTCTGCAGACCACAGCCTTTACAGCAAGAGCCGCTGGCCCTCTGTCGGGGGTCAGCGTGGTCCTGTTCCCACGGCACTCAGACCAAGGCAGTCACGGTCTCCAACGTCACGTGACATGATGTGTCCCCCACATGCCCCCAAACAATCCGATGGTGTGCAGGAGAGAAACACTGGAACTTTAAAAAAAATTTCATCCTTCTAAAATTTCCATGTGTGTATCTGTGTTAATTTGCATAATGGATTACTACCTTGTTGCATGCATATAACTTGTAAATGAATAAATACATCTATGTGGGAGCTACAACCTCTTAGTGTTGACTTAGAAGATAACACAGTAAAAAGCATTCAGAGACAGAGCTCCTGAACAACATTACAGCTAAATGGTGCCACTTCTGAGAAAAACATGATTTAGATCATTTTGATGATCTCAATAATTTATTTCTCCATTTCTTCTTTCCATTCTCCAGTTGCCTTTTTTAGTCTATTATTATACAAAGTGCTGATATAGAATGAAGTCTAGATGTTGAATTTATGATTAAAAATACTGGATAAGTCATTTCTCTCATAAGCTATTTGTAAAAACTTATGATTAATGAAAATACTAAGCTTTCAATACTGTATGTGTCTTTCTTTAAAGGAGGCTATACTGGAAGAACAGGAAAAGAAGAAAAGCAAAAACCTGTATGTATGACAAACTCCCCATACTAGAGTCATTGATAAGCTGTTTTAATTTGGTGCCAAAATCACCAGAGTCTATCTTATTTTCATACAACGTCAGGCAGTTCTTCTTTTTTCTTAAAATCTATCCATCTCGTAATGTGGTATGTAGGAACCCTATAATTTTTCCCTCTTTAAGCATATTTACGATTTATTTATTTGGCTGTGACCAGTCTTAGTTGTGGCATGCGGGATGTAGTGCTCTGTTGACTATTTAGTTGCTCAGTCATGTCTGACTCTTTGCGACCCAATGGTCTGTAGCACACCAGGCTCCCCTGTCCTTCACTATCTTCTGGAGTTTGCTCAAATTCATGTCCATTGAGTTGGTGATCCTATCTAACCATCTTCTTCTTCTGCCTTTGATCTTTCCCAGCATCAGGGTCTCTTAAATGATTTGGCTCTTTGAATCTGGTGTCATAAGTATTGGAGCTTTAGCTTCAGCATCAGTCCTTCCAATGAATATTCAGGGTTGATCTCCATTAGGATTGACTGGTATACAGAGCAGTGTTTATATGTTGATCCCAACCTCTCAATTCATCCTACCCCCTTGGGGTCTAGGCATTTGTTCTCTACATCAGTCTCTCTTTCTGCTCTGCAAATAAGTCATCTCTACCATTTTTCTAAATGCCACATATAAGTGATAATTGTGCTGTGTTTTTTTCTCTGTCTGACTTAACCTCACTTTGAATGGCAGTCTCTAGGTCCATCCTCACTGGTGGTTTAAGCTCATGGTTAGTTCCTGCGATGCAGAAAAAGCCTGTCCAGGGGATGCTGGAGACCTGGGGAGTTGAGGAAACTCCAGCCCCTGAGAGGAAGCAGTTGTTATGGGGAGATGGACTCTCCATAGGGTGTTGAAAAATGGATTCTAGCCCTCTCTTTGTCATTAATTTCTATGACCCCGAAATGCCCTTGACTCTTCAGGGCCGCTGCTTCCTCAGCTATGAAATGAAAGGATGGGACTCCATCTATGTTCTCAGGGGGCAGAGAGCCACCCACATGAGGATTACCTGCAGTGTGCTGCAAATGCAGATCCCTCCAATGCCCACCTTGACTGACAGAATTAACATCTCTGAGAGTGAGACCCAAGACTCCACATTCTTAGCATGTCTCACAGAGCAAACCTCACAGGTGATTTAGATGTTCCCTCAAATGTGAAAGCTGCAGCCATCCTGAACTCATCCCCATTCAAAAATGTCTCATTTGGTGATTCGTTATTACAAGCAAACAAATCAGCAGAAAGCCCAGTTCTCATTTCTCTCCCACACACAAATTCTGAATCCTGATTCTGTCAAAATATGAGGAAGACATGCATATGGACGCCCTGTGCGGAGCCTGGCGTACTGTCCCCACACCTGCCTCTCCCTGCAGGGCAGTGACCATCTGCCTGCGGGTCGTGGCCAACATCCTGGTGCTTGTCTCACTTGCTGGGAGCATCTATCTCATCTACTTCGTGGTGGACCGGTCTCAGAAGCTGGCACAGTCCAAGAAGGAGCTGACACTCTGGGAGAAGAACGAGGTACCCACACACAGTGGCAGACCCTCCTCTGTTTCCTGGGTGTTTCTTATTTTTTGTTTTTAATGAATTAATTAATTTGCACCAGGTCTTAGTTGCAGCATGCAGGATCTTTAGTTGCAGCATGTGGGATCTAGTTCCCCAACCAGGGATGAAACCCATGCCCTCTGTACTGGGAGTGCAGAGTCTTAGCCACTGGACCACCAGGGAAGTCCCCTCTGTGGTGTTTCTTAAGTGGATTCACTGGAAGTATCTCCATGGAAAAACTGTAGTCCTCTTATTCTAGAGCATGGATCACAAGGGCTTGGAACCAGCGTGGCAACACTCGGGCTTGGCTGAATGATATCCCCAGTCTTAATGAGGAAGGTTTTGATTCAAAACCACCCTCAAGATCTGTACATTCTTTCCCTTGGAGTTGCACTGCTGACTGTGCTTTGCTTTCTTGGCTTTGTGTTTCTTTATATGCATGTTTCCAGAAACTGACTTCACCAGGATTTGAATTAGCAATTGCATTGTCTTCCATTGCATGTGTTGAAGTTGACCACATGGGGATTGTTGAACATTTAGGTGGTTTCCATATTTTTATATTTTGCCTGTGCTGGGTCTTTGCTGCAGTGTTCAGGCTTCTCTTGTTGCAGTATATGGGTTTAATTGCCCCGAGGCATGTGGGATCTTAGTTCCCCAACCAGGGATCGAACCTGCATCCCCTGCACTGGAAGGTGGATTCTTAACTATTGGACCACCAGGAAAGTCCCTCTGTATTTCTAAGTCACAATATTGCTTCCCAAAATAGCCTCACACCAATGGCTCATTTTTGTAAAAGTCCTTTCCCTTCCATTTATGTGACTATTCCCACGAATAGATTACCAAGAGAAAGGTTACAAACAGTTTTATAATTCTTACTCATTATTATAAGACTCTGGTCCTGAAAGTTTGGTTTGATTTACCTGTAAATATTTGAATGGCAGAAGTAGCACAAATGCCACCTCTCAGACCACTTCTATGAAAATTATTAAAAACAAAGTGTGCAGGCAATATATTCATCCCCAACGTACAATAATTTTCCAGAATAGACTGCATTACAGAGTCTCTTCTCATACCTCTGTATTTTATGTCAGTTAAGTGGGTTATAGAAATATGTGCTTGTGTGTGGATAGTTAGATAAATTTTTGAAAGATAAATTCAGAAATTATTTCTTCTTTAGCTCACAGCTCTCATGTACCAGCTAAGCCTCTGCTTTCACTTACCATAAATACAGAGAAACAAGAGTCATTTGAAAGTAATGCTCTAGATAATTTTGCATGTGCAGAAAGAATATTTATTACCTCTCAGACTTTCCTTTTCTGTTCTTAACAGCTACACTTATTTTGTTCTTCCATCCAAGGTAAGGAAAGTATGCATAGAATAAGACAGTAATTTAAGAAGGTGGCCAAAACACCAGTGAATCCCAAATGGCACGTATGAGAGTCTTCAGTTTAAGGAAGGTTCCTAGAAAGAATAGGGCTTCCCTGGGGGCTCAGTTGGTAAAGAATCTGCCTGCAATGCAGGAGACATGGATTGGATCACTGGCTTGGGAAGATCCCCTGGAGAAGGAAATGGCAACCCACTCCAGTATTCTTGCCTGAAAGAATATCATGGACAGAGGAGCCTGGTGGACTGGAGTCCATGGGGTTGCAAAGAGTCGAACATGACTTAGCGACTAAACTACCACTGCCACCACTGCAAAGAATAAACCCATGGCAAACTGGCCTTGTCAAACAGCTATTAGCTAAGATCTGGGGGAGGTTTTCCATGTAAGAACTGCAGGATTCTCTGAATACCCCTCTCCCCTACCAAACATTAGGCTATGAGATCAACTGTCAGGTGATGAAGCCTGAGATTTGGGGGTGGGGAGCCCTCAGAGGAGCTCGGTGGGGCATGCATTCTCTTGTAGGTGAGTGTGGTGGTCTCCCTTGTCACCATGCTGGCACCATCAGCCTTCGACCTTATCGCCGCCTTGGAGATGTACCACCCACGAACCACACTGCGCTTCCAGCTGGCAAGGTACGGCCACCGTGCTGGGAGGTTTCCTTATGGGTCCACTGTCTGGCCACCCACTGTGGAAACTCAGTCTCTCAGGAGCCAGGGCTTGCTTTGCCCCTCCCCGCCAACCTTAGCACAGGACTAGCCCTATGGAGTGTCTTAGCTACCGGGGTTGAACGATGGGAAGGAGGGGGAAGAGGAGGTAGGGAGAGAGGAGGGGGCTGGAGAGGAAAGACCAGGAGGACTGAATGGAAGAGATGGATGAAAGGGTGGTGATGAGATAAGAGGAAAAGAGGAGGAGGGCGGGAGGGATGGAGAGGATGAGAAGAGGGGGAGACAGGCAGAAAAAGTAGATGCGAGAGAAAGGACCAGAAGATGAAGGAAAGGCTGCCCTGTTTTGCCGACACTTGGAGTCCCTCGGTTGGATTGACCACAAGAGGTGAGGGACTCTTGCTGTCTTTCCAGATGTGAGATGAACATAATGCTTTACTCATAATTCCCCAAAGCACAGACCCATAGAGGTTCTTGTGGGTAAGTCAGGGGGCATGGGGGCTGTGTCAGGATGGTCAGTGGGTGTTCAGCAGGTGGTAGATGCAGATGTGAGCCACAGCAGTCTGAGGACAGGGGAGATCAGAGGGGCTGGCCTCATGAAACCACATTTCATTGCTAGCATTGGCTTCAACACTGTCTTACTGAAAAATCTCCGTCTCCTCCCTGGAGCAGCCTCTTTGTCAGGAGACGTGCAGCTTTAGGGGAAGTTCTGTTAGGGTGATGGTTGCAGAGGGCAGGGATATTAGAACATGGCTTACTTGTCTCCCAACCCTCTGGGGCCTCCAGTGCTTTGATTGTATTTCCTCTTGTAACACTGGATCATGTTCTAGAGAACAAATTTCCCCCAGATCACTTTGTGAAGAATGACTCTCTTTCAGGAGTAGGCAAATATTTTCTGTAAAGGACCAAGTACCTCTTTTTGATTGTGCTGGTCTATGAAATCTCTGAAGAGAGAATATGAAGACCTATGAAGGCTCAATTCTGAGGTCATAGTAGGGAAGTGACCATGGACCATACAGCATCTATGGGGTGTGGCTGTGTTTCTTGCAGTTTTATTTCCAGAAATAGAAGAGGGTAGGATTTGGCTAAAAGGCTGTTATTTGCCAGCCTTGAAGTCCAACGGAAGTCCAATTGTCATTTCAAAGATAGAAAAACAACACTTGAAAGATCAGGGAATGGCATGTGTAAACCCCTCATCCAGGGTGGCTCTGGGGAGAGGGGTGGTCCCAGCCTCCGGGCTCGAACCCTTGCCTCTGTGCTGCGCTCAGCACCTCCTCTGTCAACCCAAGAGAGAGAAGAGCATTCCTCAGCAGCTCCCTCACAGGTAGACATCAGGGAGAAGCAATACTATGATTGCATTCTTAGTATACAGATTGGCCTCGTTGTTCTTGTTCAAAACTAGAGAAACAGAGGCCCCTCATGAGTTCAGGCTACCATTTTTTTTTTTTTATATAATCTGATTCTGAAGGAAACCAAGGGTGACAACCAACCACTGTCTTAGCCTAAGCATGATAGTCACTCCAGAATCATGGTAGAAGCATGGATCAGACAGAAGCATGGATTTTGTGTGGTGGTCTGCTCATTCAAGGTGGGTTTGTGGCTTTCAGGGTCCTTGTACTCTATCTGGGGAACCTCTACAGTCTGATCATCGCCCTCCTGGACAAAGTTAACAGCATGAGCATTGAGGTGAGTGCTCTGCCCTGGGAACTTGCCCAGCTGCCCACTGCCTCCCCCATACGACACACAGGCACATGTTCACATATACATATACACACACAAATATTTACACACATATATGCACATGCACACATACATGCATACACTTACTCATACACATATATGTGTGAACACACATGTGCATACATATATACACATACACATGTGTGTGCACACATATGCTTGCACATAAACACATGCATATATATGCGCGCGCGCACACACACACACACACACACACACACATTGGGCTTCCTAGGTGGCGCTAGTGGTAAAGAACCTGCCTGCCAGTGCAACAGATGGAAGAGGTGCAGGTGAATCCCTGGGTCCTGAAGATCCCTTGGAGGAGGAAATGGCAACCCACTCCAGTATTCTTGCCTGGAGAATTCCATGGACAGAGGATCCTGGTGGGCTACAGNTGATGCTTTTGAACTGTGGTGTTGGAGAAGACTCTTGAGAGTCCCTTGGACTGCAAGGAGATCCAACCAGTCCATCCTAAAGGAGATCAGTCCTGGGTGTTCATTGGAAGGACTGATGATGAAGCTGAAACTCCAATACTTTGGCCATCTGATATGAAGAGCTGACTCACTGGAAAAGACCCTGATGCTGGGAAAGATTGAGGGCAAAAGGAGAAGGGGATGATAGAGGATGAGGTGGTTGGATGGCATCACCAACTCAATGGACATAAGTTTGAGCAAGCTCCAGGAGCTGGTGATGGACAGGGAAGCCTGGCGTACTGCAGTTCATGGCGTCACAAAGAGTTGGACATGACTGAGCAACTGAACTGAAACATTCCTTGATAAGTTTCTTTATCAAATAGCCCAATCAATTTAAGAAATACCAAAGGGATTTCTTTTATAGAAAAAAGTTGTGTCTTTAAGTCACATATAAATTTAAAACATTTCCTAATAATCAAATGCAAAACCAATCACATCTCAGAACCACTACTTTCACAGACACAACCACAGCAGACCATGAAGATAGTACATAACTCACAAGAATTCGAATGAATGGGCTGTGGGTGAGCATATATTTTGGTGGTTTCTCCAGAAAGTTAAGCACAAGACTGTCATAAGACCCAACAATTCCACTTCTAAACAAGAAAAACATTCTACACAAAGGACCTGCAAATATTCAGAGCAGCATTATTCAAATACCCCACCTCCACCAAAAAACAACAAAAAAAAGGCAAAACGCTGGAAACAAGTCTATCCTATCCACACAATGGAATGAATCATACAGCGATTAAAGGGACAGCGCTACTGACACCTGCCATGACACAGAGAAACTTCAAAAAAATTACATGAGTGAAAAAAAGCCAGGTGCAAAAAAAAAGACAAGGTTCCATGCACATGAAGCACCCACAAAAGGCAAATTTACACCCAGACAAAAAGTAGATTAATGGTTGGATGGGGCATGAGGGGAGATAAAATGTTCTAAAATTGATTAATGGAGATAATTGCATTATTCAGTAAAGAAACTAAAAATCACTTGAAAAGGCCAAATTTTAAGATCTCCAGTATATGCCTCAAAGTTGTAAAGAGAGAGGGGGAAAAACCTTGGGCTGGGAAGAAGCATCCATAAAATGAGAAGTAACATGGGGGATGAAAGATCTGGGTGACAGTGAATATGCTTTGATTAAAGCTAACCCCTATCCACTTGCCAAAAAAAAAAAAAGTCACTTACACCATGATACCCAAAAGACCAAAAGGAGTAGAGAAGCTTCTACTTTGGTCTTCAAAATAATAAATACCATTAGCTTAGGGGTTTCACCACAGAATTATGGGTAACCTCAAATAGAAATCAAGTTTCATTCTAGGCTAATCATAACAACTGTCAAGACTTTTAAAAGCCCACAAATTAAACTCACATGAAGTAAATCTAATGATTTTCACTTTATCCTCAGAAAAACAGGACTGTTAAAATATGTTTGTAAGATGTATATAAGAATAGGTCCCTGTCATGAGGGTTAAAACAAAACTCCTACATTACCAGCAATATGATAGAAATGATCAAATTCAATCTTTTATTACTTCCCATCTAGGGCTTTCTGTCTTCCAGGCAGTTTCGACCTAAAAACAAAAATTAAGTTTAACTGGTTTACTCTGAAGTTTACTGAAACCAAGTGACACAGACCACACTGTATATTCATCTCTATATCTTCAGGTAGCAGAGCCTCATTGTGAAACAAATGTAACATACTGGGTTTCCTTCTACCCTTTAAGTATCCTAATGTTAGTAAATGTTGCTGCCTGATTTTTTCCATGTGGTACAAAGTTTGTATTCACACAGTCTTTTTTATTTTTTTAAATGGAGAGCTAGCACAAGTATGCCTGAACTCTAAGAGGGAGTTGAGAGAGAAAGCCAGATATACAGACTATAACAGAATAAGAGAAAAATCGTAATTACCAAAAATATAAATGCTATGTCAAAATTACTTGGAAAAAAACATAAAATGAGAGTGTTAGCTCCTGTTTCACAGTCTAGAACTTTGAACCAATAAGTGTTTTTAATAAAATTTTTTTAAAAATCCTATTTTAAATGGTCTATTAACTCAACAAGAAGTTATTTTCCTTAAAAAAAAAAACCAAAACTTAAAATTCTAAGATCATGAACTCAAATTTTTATCAGTGTTTTAGTAGCTAAAGTTACCACCTAACTAGGTAGATCATCTCACTTACAAACATTGAAGGTTAAAATATATATATATTATTTTGTCAATCATGAGACAAAAATATGTAACTCCTGCAAAGCTGGATAGGGAACAGGTTTCATACTTTCACACAAAACAATGGTAATTGGTTAATTTTATACCAGTTTCCATAAATTCACATCCCGGGCAAATCAGGTACACCTGTATTTTTAAAGCAAAGAGAATGGGGAGAGGAAAACAATTTAACAAGTTACCCAGATGCACGGTTACCCAGGATGAAAGCCACAGGACAGTCTCAGCTCTTGCACCACCACCAAAACATATGCCCCCCCATCAAAATTTAATTACACTGCACAACACTTTGTGAATTGAGCTTAATAGTTTATCAACTGCTCTGCTTTTGACAGGACAGTTTCCTGAAGGAAAGTTCCAAGAATTGAAAAGTTCCAACACCCACATACCAGAAAGCGTTTCCTGAATTTTGTTACAGGAACTGACTTCTGCTGTAATTTTAACATTTACTTTCCAGAGGAGTTCCATTTAAAAATTTTTGTTGCAGAATCTTTGCTAGACGACAGAACACCTTAGGCGATGCTGTTGCTTAAAATACTGACTCAGTTGTAATTTTTTCCCTGGGACCAAAAACAACTGCCACCTGACTGGACGGGGGTGGGGGGTGAGGAGGGTGGGGCATGGAATTAGCAGTTTGGGGACGGAGCCCAGAGCAGACATGAAAGGGTTGATTAGGTAACCAACTCCTTAAGAAGTAATTCTTGGGAAAGCACAGCTTGAGCAAACATTGGAGGTTGCTTCTTGGTATCTCCCTTTTCATGTTTTAAATATAGGTGCATTTGGACATTTCAACTAACAGTTTGTAATTGGCACATAAATTTATAAAAGTAGACATCTTCCTTCTGTACCAACCTCTTGTTTATTTCAATGGGGGGAAGGGGGAACACATGTACCGATGAATATATATTAAATCAGAATGTAACGGCATTACATGATATAGTTTATATGACACTGTATCTCCCTCACACACACCCGATTTCACCAAGAGTGGTAGGTGGGCCTCTGGCCTCAGACCCAGCAGGGCTCCTCTACCCAAGCTCAACCCTGGACCCACCCACTAGGAATCTCTGGGCGAGGGTGGGGGGAGTGTAGAATCTGCCTGTTAGGAAGCTCTCGTGGTGTTTCTTGTGTCTAGTCCGGTTTGAGAACCTTGAGCTTAATATAACCACCCTGCCCCTAAAATATTCCTTCAGTTTTATGTTTCATTGCTCGACCAAGCAGTAAGCAATACTGGAAAGAAAGGCAAGATCCTTTGTGGGTAAAACACTGGCAAGCCAGTGACTCAAGAGTCATCTCCTGAAGTCTCCCCGGCCCACCCAAACAAAGGATCACGTGGCCCATAGGCCTCCAGGCGTTCACCGTCACAGGAGCCACGGGGAAGGACAATCCTTGGCACTTTCAGGACGTGGGGGAACTGTGGGTGTCCCTCTGGAAACACGATACCTAATCCCCAAATCAAGGCAATTTAGCTGTCAATAGAAATGCAATCTATTTCCCCCTTCTGTTTGCTGCAGTTCCTTCTGACAAGCTGTCACTACTGGGATTTCCTCTTAATATATTAAATCTGACGTCAAATTACTGCTTTGAGTAACAGCCTTAAGAATCTGACAGGGGTCCCAATCTGGCTAAATTAAAAAAGAAGCCAATAAACCAATGCAAGAAAACAACAGAGGTTCACCAGAGAAAAAGACTCGCAGGATATTAAGTTGGCTGGCTTTGTGGCCATCAGGTTAAGCTTTAACTCGCTGTGGGTAGATAGGAAAAGGGGAAAGTTTGCACAGGGGCAGGATTCTCAACACTGATCACTGCCAAGACACAAAAAGTCAGTGCTGGGATGGTTATTAAAGTTAATTTTTACTTCTGGGTCTCCAAGGGCATTAACACCAAAAGTTATAAATCTTATCCACCCACCCCCCCTAGGGCCTAAAGCTAAACGTCATCTGCTACAGACATAGTGAAGTGAAGTCGCTCAGTCCTACTCTTTGGGACCCCACGGACTATAGCCTACCAGGCTCCTCTGTCCATGGGATTTTCCAGGCAAGAGCACTGCAGTGGGTTGCCATTTCCTTCCCCAGGGGATCTTCCCAACCCAGGGATTGAACCTGGGTCTCCTGCATTGCCGGCAGACGCTTTACCATCTAAGCCACCAGTGAAGTCACAGACATACTCGAGCAACATATTATTTTGCCTTCTAGTTGCTATTTTATTTCGAGCAAAGGAAGACATTTACATTCATACAAACAATGAAGGGGGATTTTCCTTGTGGCACGGTGGATTAGAATACGGCTGCCAAAGCAGGGGACATGGGTTCGATACCTGCCACGGGAAGATCCCACACGCTGCGGAGCAACTAAGCTTGTGTGCCACAACTACTGAGTCGGCATGCTGCAACTACTGAAGCCCGCTCACCTAGAACCTGTGCTCAGCAACTAGGAGTAGCCGCCACTTGCTGCCAACTAGAGAAAAACTGCACACAGCAACGAAGACCCAGCACAGCCAGAAATAAATAACTTTTAAAAAATAAAATGAAGAACAATCTGAAGCAAAGCTAGAATACTACAATCTGGCTCCCCCCAATTTTTTTTTTAACTGAAGGAAAAAGGATAGGCAACCATTTAAGCTATAAAAGTTATGCACCCACCCCATATCAATAAAATGTAACTGAACCACAACAGAGAGGTAGTGATACCCAAGCTTGGTACATTTGTACTTCTGAGCCAAAACAAGTTATCCTCAAGGTGCCCGCTGTATTTCCAACCGGTATGGGAGGTGAAGTCAGAATACACTGTAGCCGGTAGGCCTTTCTCACCCCCATGTCACGTACAGGACTTCCCCTTTCAGAGGACACATTTTGGAAATACACTTCTTGTCCTACCTTGGGAAGCAAATGAAATGGAGAGCTTTGCTTACGGAAAACTGAGTTTAGATATATAGAAGCTATCAAGTCGTGTGTTACAACTCAAAGCAGTTATGAAGCTAACCAGCTTTATAATTCCTCCATTTTACAGCTATTAAGTAAACACGTAGATTCGCATGCTCAAAACAAGTGACAGTACCCAGATGAGGGTGATTTCTCTTATCGATGATTAAGATAATGAATATATTTGAAATTTAAGTTGCTTAAATGAAGCATTCACTGAATTCCATTTTCAAAAGAGTATAGAACCAGTTAGTGAACACCTTTTCATGGTACAGTATGGAATCCCCTAACTCTCATGAGACCACTTGAGTCCATTTTGCCAAAGAAGATCCCCATAAATCAGCTAATTAAAAAAAAAAGACTCAATTCTCCTACCACCTTCATCATGAACCTGTCGTCTGAGTCAGGAAGCTCAGCTGGGCTCTCAGGAAGGAAATCACTTAAGGGACCTGTCTGTTTCTCTTCTGTCAAGGACACAGTTCACAACGGTGTCATAAGGGAAAAATGAAGACACTCACTGGGTCAAAATACTGCATAAATTATTTCCCTCTTGAAATCACTTCCTTGAACTGCACTTTCCAAAACACCAAACATTCTTCTTTGATATTTGCTCATATTTAATCAGAGCTTTTTTTGCTTTCATGAATTTTCTTCCAAGGTAATCTTTACAAAGCTCATAAATTGGGGGTGGGGGCAGAGGATGGGGCAAAACTGGTTCCATACCAGTTTAAGGGCCTTGATTTTTGCAATGGAAAACCTCCCCCACCAGAGTCAGAGATCCACCAGAAACCAGCTTCATAATAATCTTGGGAACAATCTGACTTTCCTCTGTTATTTTTTTTTTAAACGTCATTAACTTTAGGCAAATTCAAACAAAAAACCTGTGGGAGAGTTCACTAAACCTAATTTCCTTTTGCAGTTTGTCTGAAAACATTTTTTTTTTTTTTTTTTTTTTTTTTTGAGACGCTCTCAGCCACTAGAGGCTACTCTACTAAAGAAGCAAGTTCAACTCATTGGAGCACCCCACCTACCCTACCCCGGAGATGGGGGCCAGGGCTTCTCAGGTAGCACAAGGTGCATTTAAAACCAGTTAATCCCTACCGGTAGTTGAAGATACATATATATTCCTTTCTAATATTCAGGAACTGCTTCAATGAAAGGGTTAGCAGAGATGAAGAATCAAACAAAGCCCTCTTTTCTCTTTTATCCATCAACACATTCCTCAATATAAGGCAAGTTAATCCTCATAGAAAAGGACAGATCTACAAACTGATAGGATTTTATACCTTCCCCTACCCATCATAGGGTTTACCAGTCCACAAAAGACAGTGGGCCAGGATATATAGGTCTATGAAAATACTTTCCAAGAGCTTTAGGTCAGCATTTGGAAACTAAAGCCATGGTCTGTAACTATTTCACATTAAAGGAAGCAAGTTTGTTACAATTCTCACAGGAAGTGTCATCAATGTATCTGCTGTGCTTACAGATTCCCAAGAACTGCACACACTGATCTGAGAGAGGAGGCATAGAGCATGCTCTGCTTTAACCAATGTTGTACTTTTAAGTAACTGCCTTTCTCCACAATTCTGAAAAGGCAAACCATATATTTGACGTTCTCAGAATACTGACCAAAAATCTAATTTTTTAAAATTTAGGCAATTGACCTTTCATTCAGTAAATGTCTTCCATATCTAGCAGAAGAAATAACAAAGCAAAACAAAACAATCGATTTGTTACTTTCTGCTTTAAAGTGAAGGAGAGGATTATGCAACCTTAACTGATGAAATTTCAGAAGCCAGAAGATAACTTAAGTAGTCCCTCCTTCGTTCAAAGTACTTCTCGCTTATGCAGGGGACACTAAAAATATGAGACAGTATCTTAAAGAGCTGACTACAGAGAAGAAATACACATGAAACATTAGTCATACACCATCCAGTGCTACAAAATTCAACTTCATCTAAGTTTCCATCTACTTCTTCTACTCAAAAAACAACAGAAAACAAATTATTTAAGCAATGCACAGTGAAACTATTGTGGTTAGAACAAGCTGAGCTATTAATGTTTAGATCCATTAGTCGTGTCTGACTCTCTTCGGGTGGACCAAAGCCTGCTAGTTCTTCTGTCCATGGGATTCTCGTGGCAGGAATATTGGAGTGGGTTGCCATGCCCGTCTCCAGGGGATCTTTCCAACCCAGGGATCAAACTCATGTCTCTTAAGTCTCCTGCACTGGAAGCAGGTTCTTTACCACTAGCGCCACCTGGGTGTGTATGTATAATATGCGTGTGTGTGTGTGTGTGTGTGTGTGTGTGCGCGTGTAATGGAATGTTACTCAGCCTTTAAAAAGAATGAAATGATGTTATTCACAGTAATATGGTTGGATTTAGAGACTGTTATACTGAGTGAAGTCAAACAGAAAAAGAAATGATATTGCTTACAAGCAGAATCTTTAAAAAAAAATACCAATGAACATAAAACAGAAACAGATAACAGATGAACTTATGGCTGGGGGGGAGGGTGGATGGGGAAGAAGAGTTAGGGAGCTTGGGATTGACATGCACTCACTGCTATATTTTAAATGGATAACCAACAAGGACCTACTATATAGCACAGGGAACTCTGCTCAAAGTTACATAACAACCTAAATGGGAAAATAATTTGAAAAGAACAGATACATGTATATGCACAACTCAATCACTCTGCTGGACACCTGAAACACAACATTGTTGATCAACTGTACTCTGATACAAAGTTTATAAAAGCAATAAACTACAGGAAAGTTAAATCCTGATGTTTCAGTGTCCTGAAATACTGGGAGTTAGACAAAATAGTAATTTTAAAGAGTAAGTAGCAGTTTAGAACAATGCCGATCATATAATATTGCATGAAAACAAAATTCAGATTATATCTGCGATGAATGTAACTAAAATGATTTCTGGACCCTCTGCAGAAGAAATACAAAATAAATAAAACACAGTTATTGATGTGGTAAAAAGAAAGAAGGCTTCCCACCTGGGAGCTAATGGTAAAGAACCTGCCTGCCAGTCCAGGAGATCAAGAGATGTGGGTTCGATCCCTGGGTGAGTCAGAAAGATCCCCTGGAGGAGGGCACTGCACCCCACTCCAGTATTCTTGCCTGGAAAACTTCAGGGTCAGAGGAGCCTGGCAGGTTACAGTCTATGGGGGTTGCAAAGAATCGGACACAACTGAACATGCGAGTGCGTGCTCGCACACACACAGAAAAGAAAATGCACGTTTACTACTTGTGAGAGACACTCCCATAATGCAGGCATAATGCAAACAAGACATCATGGCCTTGTGGCTTTGTTTCTAGTTCAAGGGCACATCTGAAGGCCAGGTAGAAGAGCGGAATGTGTACAGTCTTCCTATTTCAACCATCAGCAAACTGAACGACCATGCTGATAACTCAGATTTCTACATCTTGCAGCAGAGTATTTCTGGCAGAAACTGCTTTTTTGTGCTTTTAGATTGAGGCTCTGCAGCTCCCCTTTGACACCTCATCTCAGCATTAAAGAGGCGGCCTGGAAGCGAGGAAATGCTGCAGGCTGCTCAGGAGTCGGGCACTGCTCCACCTGGGTAACCTCAAGCAAGAAAAGACTGACTGGGCCTTAGTTTCCTGAACAAATGTGAAAAATAAAAAGTACTTACCTATTTAAGTGACTGCAAAGAGTCAACCAGGTAATCCAATTACAGCTGCTGTGCCTGGCACACAGCCATGTCCAATTTAGCTATTACCTCATTTTACTCTTCATTAGTTTAAGGGCGCAGACACTGAAATCACTCACACCTGAGTTCAAATCACTGCTTTCTAGCTTTGAGCGTGGTTAGATACCATTTAATTTCTTAATCACAGTGTCTTAATCCAAGGTTTTGATGCCCTGGACCCTTCAGGCAGTTTACATTTCAGTCAAGGCTAGTAAAAATAAATATGCAACTGTAGTTTCTCAGCAAAGTTTTCCTACAAAACGGCCCCAAGAACCTCCTTCTTAGAAAAAACAATAAAATGGGGGCAGGGGATAAACCACTGAGAGAAGAGGATTAATTATATACAAAGCACATAGAAGACGCTCTACAGAGTGAAATTCTCTTCCTAGAAAGTTCTATTTCTTAGGAAAAAATTTTAAACTCATCAAGCCCACACTTCAACAGGAAAGCATCTATTTCTCTGACATATCTGGGTCTTCAGACCCGACTTGTGTTTAGCCTTGTAAGGTTCCCCCAAATGACTCTACGACCTCAAAAAGCAACTTGAGGAGCCCTCCAATTATTTTAAACGTGACACCAAAGGACTTTCTAATAAAACTGAAAGTTAAAAAAGAAGGCATATCTAAGTTCTTAAGCCTCCTTTAGCCCCAATTGCTGTCACAACTAAAATGACAGCACACACAGCAGTCTGAATCTCCTAATCACTGATGCCTTGTCATCACTCTTAAAAGGCTCATTTACCAAAAGGAAAAAAAAAAAAAGGTAACCAGGGAAAGCCAGGGTTGGAGGTTCTTACTATAGCGTTCCTCTGACAGCAACTGCTGTTCATTATCCTCTCCCTTCACCGATCCCGGTACATTCCCGTTCTTTGCCTACTCAGCAGATTCACGAAAGCTGTGCCGTTTTATGTGCGATCGTACATTTTGGCAGTAAAATTTCCAGTCACTTACCAGGCAAATTCTCAACCACCAAGCCCCAAGGCGAACTGTTTCGCGTTAATTGATTTCCAAAATGCTGCTCAAGGTATTACCAGAGGGAGGGGGAAAAATCAGGAGAACCTAAAGGAGGTGCACAAAGAAACTAAAGGATGATTTGGGCAAAGGCAGACAGGTTAAGCCACCTTGATTTCCTTGAAAATAATTGGGGGGGGGGGGGGGGATAGGAGAGAAATCTAACTTGAACCTTAACTCGATCCCTCTTCCTCTCCTCTGCAGAAATGGTCTAGTACGTTCTCCAGACTTTTTTTTACTTTTTAAAATCTGACATAAATAACGATGAGAAAGCAATGACAAAGCTGCTTCCTGCCCGTCTTCTTCACGGCACCCCAACCCTTCTCCTGCAACCTTCCATCCCCCTCGCCACTCACACACATTTGGAAAAGTTTCTCTCGGTGCCTGCCTTACCTTGACTGGGCTGCCATAATTCAGTCTGTAGAGCTCAAGGTCTGCCGTCCATCAGCGCCTCCAAGCCGCGGCCCTCCTGCCGGCGCCGCGCTCACCATTTGCCGGGGCCGGGCGGGGACGATTCCCCAGCGCGACTCCCCGAGGTGACGGGACTACCTGCTCCTCGAGCCCGGGCGCCCTCAGCGCAGCCTCCGGCTCCGAGCGTATTGGCTCGCGCTAATCCTGATAGACATCCGGGCACTGGGGCCTCTGCAGGCGCGCTCCACTCCGGACCGGCCGGGGGAGCGTCGCGTCCGAAGCCGAAAGCGACCGCGATCCCGGCGGGCGACTCCGGAGCAAGGGACGCCGCGCGGGTTCCCTCGGCGCCAAGCCCACCAACGCGCAGCTCCCGCCGAGCGGCGCTGACACGGCGGCCCGCGTTAGCAAGGGAAAAGAAACCGTCCTTGGGCTCACCTCGAGTTGTCCGAGTTCGCGCGGACACCCCCGCCCACAAAGTTCTGGTGGTACGGCCCGACTCCTTAAAAGGGCAGGGCGCTCGGCCGGGCGAGCCCGAGGCTGTGCCGGGCGGGGGCGCCGAGCCCCGACGCAGCCCAGCTGGCCCGCTCGCAGCCGAGCCCCGCCTGCAGGCTCCTGGCGACCGCTCTCCTGCCAAGGTTTTAACAATGTACACACACGGCCGGAACACTCAATACCCCGGCGCTCCGAACTCCAGCCGCGGTTTGAATCAGTGTTGAATATTGGGGCCCCAGAACCTGAAGTGAACCAAGAATTAAACAAAAAAACCCCAAAGCAGCAGACCAAGTTCTCTACTTTTGATCGTGCCAACGCTTGCAGTCAGGAAATGTGCGACTACCGCACACTTGTTTGACTGGGTCGGCTTTCAGTTTTGATTTCGTTTCACTGAAACAAATGTCTACAAAACGCCGTCTCTGTTACTGGACAACATGCAGACACGAAAAGGCAACAACAACTCGTTTGGCACTGAAAGAGGTCATTAATGAACTGACCGGTTTCTAGAACATAACTTAGGATGCAAGCCGACAATATGTTAAACGGTGTAAGCACAAACGAAACCGTGTCCTGCTAAGGGGACCAGGGGAGGCATTTAAACTCTGCCTAGAGCTAAGCAGGAGACAGCGTCGCTGGACATGGGGAACGGTGGGCTTCAGCATCTCACTGGGGACCAGCAGCACGCTGTAGGGGGCTGAAAACTTAAATGCATGTCGTCCCCCGCCACCTAGAATCATGACGATGGCACCAAACTCGCAGAGTTACTACTCCAGACTGTATTGCTAAGGAGCCATGCATAGAGAAATGTTGACATCTGCCTGAAAACTGCAAGGCTGTGGGGTGGGGGCTGATGAGGCAGGAGGAAGGCACAAAAGCATCTTTATAGTGGTTCTCAAAGTGGGATCCGTGGTCTCCCGGGAGTCCCTGAGACCTTCTCAAAGGTCACAGCTATTTTTAGACTAACACAAAGACACTGTCCTTTTCACTGTGCTGACATTTGCACTGATGGTGCAAAAGCAATTGTGGGGAAACTGCTGGAGCCTTATCACTCAACAAGGCAGTGGCTCTTCACCACACATTAGCAGTTTTAAAAAAAGTGTTTCCTTTACATAAATACTTAATGAAACGACCAGTAGGGATTACTACTTTTATTAAATCTTGACCCTTGCATACAGGTCATTTGGGTGTTCTTTGTGACAAAATGGGAAAGTAGGCATGTATGGATGTAAGGGATGGACCATAAAGAAGGCTAATTGCCAAAGAACTGATGCATTTGAACTGTGGTGTTGGACAAGACTCTTGAGAGTTCCTTGGACTGCAAGGAGATCAAACCAGTCGCTCCTGAAGGAAATCAGTTCTCAATATTCACTGGAAGGACTGAGGCTGAAGCTGGAGCTCCAATACTTTGGCCACCTGATTTGAAGAGTCGACTCATTAGAAAAGACTCTAATTCTGGGAAAGATTGAAAGCAGGAAGAGAAGGGGACAATAGAGGACAAGATGATTGGATGGCATCACCAACTCAATAGACATGCATTTGAGCAAACTCCTGGAGAGGGAAGCCTGGCGTGCTGCAGTTCATGGCGTCACAAAGAGTCGGACATGACTGAGCAACTGAACTGACTGACTGACTGATTTGTTACCTGGCAGTCATTTTCACAAAAATGAACAAAATGAGTGTTTCTTCCAGGAAAACAACTGACAGTATTTATTGCCAATGATAAAATTTGAGTTTTGAAGCATTTTGGAAAACTTGACACCTGTCATGTTGAGCTTGACAGCTTCGCAATACTTAAAGACATCCCTGATGAGGTAAGGACAGTAAGGAATGTGGCTTTAGAAGACCTGCCTAACCTAGTGACCAAAATTTTCTAAATAGTACAAAATCATGCATGGGTAAAAGATCCACTAAAAATGCAGGAAAGACCAATGGATTTTAATATATGAAAGTTTAAAAACAGCTCAATGAAATGACTCCAGATTCTACACTGCAACTAACCTTTAGGAAACTATGATTGTAGAGTTTTGATATAATACCAAAAAGGTATTAAAGTACTCCTCCTTTTCCTGTGTGAGGCTACATTTCCTCATTTTCTTCATAGATTTCAACCAAAATAACACTGCAACACACTGAATTCAGAAACAGATATGAGAATCCAGCTGTCTTCTATTAAGCTAGACAGTAAAGAGATTTGCATAACGCTATTTCTCTTACTAAAGTTTTTAATTTTGGAAATAGTTTTGTTTTTCTCAAAATAAAAACATTATTTAAGTTAACAGGTAATGGGTTACCTCTTAGCCCATCTTTCTCACAGTTATTCTAAATACCAACCATGATCATCTATGCTTTAAATTGGTATTAGACATATAAAAGCAGCAGAAACAATACTGCATAATGGCATTTACTTACAAAATTTCCATTTATCACTGGCTAGTAATGTAAAATCACTTATATTAAAACTACATTTTCCCCGGTGAACTGTGTTGTTCTAATCCACGAAAGAGGAGGAAATGAAAGAATACAGCAAATATTCACATGCAAGGAAATGCGAAGTCAACAGATCTCCAGTACACCTGACATTCCCAGAGCTCTCAAAATCATTTGTAATGTAAATTACTGAGGGTAATTTGAAACTGAAGTGGGATTACACTCGATTTGTAATAGTTCTAACAAAACTATAGGAAAGTGCGGGAGAAATGATTCTGGAATTGGATACTGCCTGTGGCTGAAGAAGTAGTGCAGTACACACGTGGGCGTGATTTTCTCCAAGTGTTTTGAAAACACCATTGTATCCAACCTACAGTCTTGTTCAGCAGTGAAAATGAACAAAAGACATTCTTAACCTTTTGGGGGCACAGAATTCCTTGGCTTCCTGATGAGATTTGAAGATACAGACCCATACACACAATATTTGCTATACTTTGATGTTTAAGGTTCCCATGCAGCCCACTTGGGAAGGATCGGAGGCTCCATAGACTTCAGGTGAGGAATCCTTGGCCCCGAAGGTTCACTCAAACTGGACCAGCTAATGAACCAATTTACCTTACAAATAAGGAGTATGTTGTTGTTGATCAGTTGCTAAGCGAAAAGTGTTAGTCATTCAGTCCTGTCCAACTCTTTGCAACTCCATGGACTGTAGCCCTCCAGGCTTCTCTGTCCATGGGATTTCCCAGCAAGAATACTGAAGTGGGTAGCCATTCCCTTCTCCAGGGGATCTTCCCAACCCAGGGATCGAACTTGAGTCTCCTACATTACAGGCAGATTCTTTACAGCCTGAGCCACCAGGGAAGCCCCAGTATAGCATATACTCACAGATACTTACTTCATCCTTTGGGCTATAACCCAGTACTCTACCCTGGGTTTTACTGCTCAGATTGTTCTGGCTCTGGCCACTGGAAGCCCTTTCCCATCAGCTCCTGATCCCTTTGACTTGCTTCCATCTGTTTTGCCTTTTAAGCACTTCCTTACTTTCTGGTACTATGAGGCTCCAGGCTCACCTATTTTCTCTGCCACAGCTTTCTCTAGAATCGGCTATTTCCCCCACATATCAGTCTCTTATCCTTACAAGCTACTGCCCAATCTCCTGCCATCACAGCCAAACTTCCTAAACAAACAGTGGTCAGCTTGCTTTGTGATCCCAACTTCCTCAAAACTCTCCTCTGTGGACTTGCATACCTCTCTCTCTATTTGGGAGTAACTCACTGTGTTTTATAATTATTTCTGCTCATACATCCAGGAACCAAAAAGATGCTAGAAAATGTCCCTTATCTCTCCATCTGTATGCTATCTTGGACAAAAACATCAGTGACACTCCAGAACTGTAACTCCAACACAAACCTCTTCCCACAAAGCCAAGTTCATTCTTCCCAGCTGCCCAAAACCACTTTCCTGGGTATAAAAAAGGCACTTTGGCAGGCTCTCTCGAAAGGATTGTTCACTTAGTGAAATGTATCACCTCAGAAATGCCAAGAGCCACCCATCTTTCAAACTGAGCTGCTGCTTGGATCTGCAAAGGGTGGTTTCTCTAGACAGGGAGGGGACAGTCTTCACCGGAGAAGGGATGGGGGGGAGGGGTTATTGTTGTTCAGTCACTAAGTCTTGCCGACTCTTTCCAACTCCAGGGACTGCAGCATGCTAGCTAGGCTTTCCTGACCTTCCCTATCTCCCGGAGTTTGTTCAAACTTATGTTCATTGAATCGGTGATGCTATTTAACCATCTCATCCTCTGCCACCCCCCTTTCCTCCTGCCTTCAATCTTTCCCAGCATCAGGGTCTTTTCCAATGAGTCGGTTCTTTGCATTAGGTGGCCAAAGTATGAAGTCTCAGCATAACAGGATCAGTCCTTTCAATGAATATTTAGGGTTGATTTCCTTTGGGATTGATGGGTTTGATCTTCTTGAAGTCCAAGGGACTCTCAAGAATCTTCTCTAGCACCATAGTTCAAAAGCGTCAGTTCTTTGGCACTCTGCCTTCTTTATGGTTAGCTGATTCCATTCTTGGGAATAAAAGCAGAAGGCAGAATTCAGAGGACTTTCAATTAGCAGATCAGGGGACATGCAGAAGCATATTCAGCCCAGGAGAAAACAAGCATTTTGAAACTAGCTGTATAGATTTAATTAGTCTCAAAATGCTTTTTCTCCTCCTGGGTTAAGAATGCTTTTATCCTTGCATTTTACAAAAATATTTTATGACATGAAAAATATAGTATAAGGTTAAAGAAAGGTTGTTATACAGTGTACTTGTTATGAACCCACTTCATCAAACTTGAAAATAAGTTTGTGTATCCAAAAGGCTGAGTGGGTCTGTACCAAAGGCTAGCTACAGCTATGCCTGGCTGGAAGGATGGAATGACTTTTCTTATTCTGGGCATTTAAAAATATTCTAAGTATTATAAAATGAACATTTATCTGTATTGTTATTTATTAACTTATCATTTTTGCAATGTAATAATTTATGATTATTGTAGAAAATAAACTATGACCAAATCTTAACTCCAGAAAGGAGACCAAAGGAGATCATCTAATCCACTTCTCCATGCAAGAATGCGCTTTCTCCTCCTAAACTGGTCTGTTTGCATATCTCCGGGGAAAACTTCTTTACAGAAGGCCGAGGGCCAAAAAAAATGATGCTTTTGAATTGTGGTGCTGGAGAAGACTCTTGAGAGTTACCTGGACTGCACGGAGATCAAACCAGTCAATCCTAAAGAAAATCAACTCTGAATGTT